AACAAAGTTTCCCATGCACGCATACCCAGGATGAGCCGATCCGGCATCATTGTGGCCGGTAGTCAAAAAATAATTATAGATTGTGGTGCTAAAGCGCGGCTTCACTCATCATCTTTTTCCCTACAGAAATAATTTCCATTCCTTTACATATAACAACACTATAGCTTTCCTTCTGGTCCAGAACTGTATGTCGCGAAGATTACGGCAGGTTGTGGAGTATTACAGGGTATGTTTAATTAATACTGCAGTACTTAACATTGTCAGTAAATTAGTTTTATTATGATGGTAAAAGTATGAGCACCAGGTCATATTTTATTATTAGTTTCGAGTGGTAAGGATGCAGCATTGCTACGAATAGTTATTAATACTTTGTCATTCACGGTTAGCATCTCACCAGATAGTTCACGTTGTGGACTATATTCTACAGAAATTATTATTTTTCAGCACAGTTGTTAAATATCCATATAAATTATTGTCTGAATAGTTTGTTTAAAGGATATATCTGCACAGTATGTCAAAGCGCTGATAAAGACTAACTGAAATTGTAGTGAATTAACACGTAGCGGATACGAGCTGTCTCATCACAGAAAGCAGCTGACCTAAATTAGCCAAAACAGTTTAGTTACCTTATGTCCTATATTGATCGCACCTCCGTGAACGCTGGAGCTGCTGCGGAATGCGGAGCAAGCCGAAAGGGGAAAGCTATCGAAGCACAGCTGGCTGATGCCACGATACGATTTCGTTGCGGCGGCGTTCGAGATTCACGTACCGTGGAGCAGTGGCACTAAGAAACTCGTGGACAAGGTTGGAAGCTGCCTAATTTCTGCCACTGGCCAGAAACGCACCAAAGAGTTTTTTCGGCAGCGCTTGTCTATACAGATACAGCGCGGGAATGCGATATGCGTAATGGGCACGATTCGTGAGCAAGACAGGATAGAGGAAATTTTCTTGTGGTGATTGGGGTGTATCTGTTGCGGATGATTGTTTTATTGTTTTCCGTTGTATTGTATTATTATTTTACTGTGTGAAATTTAACCCTTCTGTACGTAACACTCACTATACAGTACATCAACACTAAAATCGAAAGTACTACTAATGCAGTTTTGGACAATTATAATCATCGCCTCTTCCCAGTACATTACCGGAAGCTGGCCAAAGTATTTCTGTAATCCTAATTTAGGTCTACGTTCTTCTTCAGTTCGACGGGACGTCGTTCTATATAAGGCTTGCGTACCTTGCAGCGATAACGGTGATCGGCTTACAAACAGTTTAATTCAAAATTATGGTGTTAACGCATACCAACTCATACGGCATGCGGGTATCACCAGGTGCCAGGTCGTTCGGAGCGACTTCACCTTGTTTTCTTTGCTTCGTTACCTGCGTTCATAAAAATTAAATCGCTTGAAATCAGCACGCGGGCAGCGTTTACTGCTAATGCATTATTTTAAGGGATCTGGTAAGTTTCTGATGCAATAATTTCTGCCCTAATGCTTGTGAGACGCTTATATTTTGAGATTCCCGTAAGGCGCGATTCAAGTATTACGTAACGCAGACGGGCGGTGGTCATGGCTTTTTGTTACGCCGTGTTACATGGGGTAGGGGGGTGCAAAACTTTTTGTTACGTGCGGGCCGACACCCCATAAAAAACGAAAAAAATAATATATTTTAATTAAATTTCTATAAATATTATAATGGCTCTCTCTTTTACGGTGGTCCGGCTCTCTTTTACGTATTCAGCAGGGGGGTTGAAAATTTTGTTATGCGGTGTTACAAGGGCAAGGGGCGGGGGGTGGTAAAAAATCACGAAAAATTGCGTTACGTAATACTTGAATCGCGCCTAATCGCCATGTCGATGTCCGCTAGAAACAAGTGCCCTTTTCAGCGATCAATGGGTACACCTAGCTACTCACGATTACTTTGGTCAATAATACTGCCAAGTTGTCTGAGAATACGAAATTTACCCAGGAATTACTTTTGTTTCATTCTGATCTTGTTAAAGTCACAATGCTAAATAGACGATTATATTGATAATATATCAGAATTTACGCAATGCCTCCATGCTTGCGCAATGTCGTTTTATATGGAGCTTTTGCGAATGACCCGTTAACAAACTACTGAGTAGATTTCGAAAAACTAAAAGATTAGACGAATAAATCTGGATAATATGGATGGTCAGGTCGGGAGAGCACAGGCAATCTGATCGGGTGAAATATTGCCAAACTCCCGTCGAAAATGTCGAATGTTCAGTTTAACGAAGGCCTTTCAAACGCGCGCAGTCCAGTCCAGACCGTGGGGTACAGGCATGATTAACCCTGTAAGCGATGTAGAAAAAATCAGCAATACAAACGACCGAAAAATTATATCGAATGTTAAATTTGTTTCCATACAGTTCTCGCCATCTGCAGTCATTTGGATCAGAAAGCCACTCTGCCTCATCACAAGGAATAACGCTGATTGCGCTCATATTGCGCTTCGCTCTCGGTTTTGCTGGATAGATTTCTGGTGCTAAACAAAGTTGCTTATAATAAAACTCCAGATAATTGACACATTAGAATTTAAACCTATTAAAACACAATATGTCGTAGAAGAGCACATCACGTAAACCTATCAGTGCCAGAAATATACCTGTAAGTCGAAACAAATCCAGTATGCAGGACTTATATGCAGTAGACTTACCACAGAACGCGTGAAGCAACAAAAAATCTAATACTTTTTGTTTTATGTTTTCGAAATTGCGTTACTGACATGGTATTACTGATGTTGCTGACATGATGTAAAACCTATTTAGAGCGGTGAAAGTAATGTGAGCGCTTGCGAACGATACTCGTAGAGAATTGGTTAATTTTCCTTGCGTTGCATTGCAACTTACGGGACACGGAGGTCCCCGTTTTGTGGTCGTTTTTCGGTGTGTCCGGATCTGAATAACATTGTTTGAATTTATCGAGGCGACAAACGATACAGTTTTTAAGCGTGCGGACAAGTCAAATTCAGAAGTACAAAAATTAAATGCGAGAATTTTTGTCGAGGAATAACTCTGTCAACAGGCACAAGTGCATACCAAAACAGATTTTATGGAGGTTAGAAAAACGCGTCAGGCTAAAGAATTGCGCACTGCGTATCTTTATATGTCTATACTTTAGCAGTGACAATTAGCAGAAAACAGCTTTGGTGCAGCTTTCGATGGCTGTAGTGATACATACCGGACTCAGAGGCTCTCGGATTTTTCGGGCTAGCCTCCGCTGAAGTTGATGGTGAGTCTTCCTTGACCGGCACGGTGCCCTAAAATGAAGCCGTGGCACGTAAAATTCTAACGACTCTGCAAAACTACTTCAATTTGTAAGCAATTTCTCCTCGCAGTTGTGATGCGACAGCAAGCATCTCGTGTAATGCACTTACCGCAAAAGCCAGAATGGTACCAAAGAGGAGCAAGGTCACGGGTAAATTCATGATGTCGGCTATGAGACGGTGGAACCAAAACGTTAATCAACAGAGATCAATGATTGTTATAGTTGAGTTGACTGTTTCGGAGATGCAGCTCAGCTGACGATACGAAGTGCTTTTATAATGATCGCTGCTCGACTGAACCAATATTCCTCTTGTACTTACAGTTAAACCCGTGGCGGTTTTTATGCTTACAGTTTGCAGCTATAAGAGAAATTGCTTAACAGTTTGTTAGAAATCAAAGCATTTCCCTTAAAGTTTGAGACAAATTCAAGTATTTCCCGAACAGCGGATGGGCCAGCGTCTGCACTTGCGAACCTACTTGAAAATTGTATCGCCAGCTAACGGGAATTCAAACACCAGTATATGTGCATGTGTACAGAGTATTACGATAAAAAGGTAATTATTTTTGTTCGCCCTAATTAGTAACAGCTGACAGGGAATGATACAGGAATACGAACTCACGAAGGTTTATTACTATATATCTTATTTCTCAATATGTACAAGGCGAGCTTCGCTCAACAAATATGATCAAATGAAGAATTTGTCTATTATTAAGTTTATTATTTAATTTCTAAATGGCGGGTAATAAACTTTGTACGGGCAGCAAGTAATGTGACGGTTTCTAGCTTTACGCGCATCATGAATGTCATAAAAAAAGAAGGAAGCTTTTATGTTACTTCATTGTAATGGTTGTTTTACATAATCAGTGTGTAGCAGTCATGCAAAAAATAAATAATCGAATGCATTACAAAACTGAAGCCACAATAATCGTGAGGCCCTACATCGAAAGCGATGGCTTGCCGCTAATCGGTTAAAGCGTAGATAAAACTGTTTAACACAGCGTTTTAATTTGCAAGGATTTTGTATGTGTTTCCGATCTTATTCTGAGTTAACTTAAGTTTACGTAGTCCCCGTCAGTCCATCCTTATTTGTACGAAAGCTCATTGTTAAGTTTTGCTTAATTTGATTCGATATGCACCTGTATTGTGACCTTGCAAAATTTAAACAAATAAATTCCCTCGATGATCGCTCAGACTGATCTTTTAAGTGCTCTGTAATTTGCACGCATGCAAACTTACGAGAAGCCGAAGATACTGTATAACGGAGTGATTCTTTGCCAGCAAAATATGCATATTATACCGTGAACTACATTCCAGACGGGGCGGGAATTTCGCAGCGTTGACACTTGTTATAACCGATGTCTCCATGATTCAGCTGCCCGAAGTTGCGCGCTTCTGCTAAGGTTAGCGATCAAGCATTTTTAAAGTAAACTTCGTCTAAACTGCCATGTCTAATTAACAAAATCACGAATTCTTCACAGTAATTTGCTGTATAAGGTGATTCGCCGGAACATATTTCGAGTGTTTTCAGAAATATCGGCAGAACGCTGGTGCTTAATAGCTATATAAGGCTCCACGCTTTTCTGTTATAACAGTAACAAGACATTCCGTTCAAAGTTAGCATCTTTACCGATTCTCTGCTTTTCCATTCTTGTAACCTGACTTGTCTCTAAAGTGGCCGCTCGCTTCATGTTTGGCATTGTTGTCTTCGCAGTTATGTGCGCTGTTGCTCTGGGTTTCCAGGGCAAAGCGACCATCTACCATTTCGGAGAAAACGGAGCCTGCGGAAAGGTCATCACTGCGGACGAAATGGGCATGGCCATCAGCGCCAGGCTGTACGGGGATTACCCGAATTCCAACAAGTCCCCCGTCTGCGGCAAGTGCGCCCTGGTCAAAGCTGTGGACAAAACTGGTCAAAGCACCGGTAAGCAGGTCAAGGTTAAAATGGTCGAGCGCTGTGAGGGATGCGTCCTAGGAGCTATCCAGTTGTCCTCCGCCGCCTTCCGCAAGCTGACAAACGATGACCTCCACCTCGACCAAGTCATTTGGAACTACGTTAAATGTTAAATTGGCTGTAATTTGTCTTTCTACAATTTCTGTTGTTCTATGGCTGATGTTATATTCGGCAGTCTCCGCTGTCTTGTGTGCTTTACGTTTCCATAAAGTTTTGTTTGCTTTGTTAGATAACTGAATTTGATGTGGTGCCGCTTACAAACTATTAAAAAGTCTAAACGTTCTTGAAGACTGTCTGAATGAATGACGAAGATCATCGACCAGCCCGAATCGGCATCGCAGTATCATCGTAATTTTTCTGGAACTTCAGTGCTGTCCATACTGCTGAATACGTGGCTTATCCACTGCCGTTCCCTGGATTCGCGTATATTATTAATCTATAGAGTTAGAGCGTGTAGAACAGGCCTCAACTGCGAACTTAAAATGGCAACAGGCGTTGCTGATCGAACAGCGGATGCCCGTGTATCGATAACCTTTTCGCCTTATATTAAAGGACATCAAAAACATTTATATCATTTTAATTAGTGTGTACCAGTGCTGGCTTTTTAATCTAAGAGGTGGCCATTGCCGAACATAAGTAATCAAAGACAATGTCAACGCATACCACCCATATGCAGGGCTATTGGCTGTATGTTGTTCACTGTAGTCACATTGGTAATATCATGAAACCGATTGGAAAACTGGAACAGCATAAATATATTAACCGAGACAATCTTCTCACAAGGTACCGACACCGGCATTGCTTTAATTTTGCTAATATTGTTCGAAGTGGCCACACGAGCCAACGAAAAAATCGGTTCCCAGAAATTTAATATTTTATAAAACAGTTAGAGCACCTTCGGAATTTTTATTTGACCAACGCCAACCATGTACAGTACGCAGCAATCTCCACAAGGCGACCGTCTTCGACAAGTTCGCACTCAATGCTATGGACCCCGGCAAGCAGTGCGAGGTAATTGTTCACTGCGAGAGATGTGCCAATGACGCCATCTGCCAGTCTACCAGGCCGCCTTCCAGGAGCTGGTTACCCAGGGCTTCGATCTCACCCAGTTACCTGAAACTACGTTACGGGAAATTACCAGTACATGGCACAGAAAATTTCGCTTTTCTCACACTTCCAATTATCTTTTTGCATTGTTACACTTTATGGCATTGTTTAGCCAAACGATGTACAGACTTTGCCGTGAAATGGTACGTACTTGCACCAAACCACGATTCCCGCAATTTTTTCAGGTTTTAAAAAGAATTTCAAAAAATTGGCAATCTATTTGAGAAAAGGTGGTGTACCACATGACAAATCTGAAGTATGGCCTCTAATCGAATGACCTGGAAATCTGCGGTCTGTTGTAAACATTTTTTTAGACGTTTTGTGATGCCCGCGGCTGCCATGTTATCGTTATCCGTTACAAACAAATACCGTATCATATGATCCACGGCGGCACTTCACCATTCCCGAATAATTATTCAGTCAATACTACTGTCAGTTTTTCCAAGAATATGGAATTTGTCCAGGAATAATTTATGCTTAAATCAGTTGAAGGTGATTTGTACAAATTACCATGTCAAATAAGCGACGTAAGTACAGAGGGTTATTCAGCCAAGTGTGGACACTTTTTGGGAAATTTCTCCTTAGCCGTCGCACGCTCATTTTACTTTTTTAAAAATTTTATCAGGTAGCCACAACATCCAGTCATACTTTAAATTCAATCGAATCACGATTTTCTGATCCTGTAGCTCAGGAAAAAATTAAGTTTGTCCCCCCCATGTTGGCAACAGTTGACCAGTTCAGCTATAGGAAATGGATTCCCTTTATTCAAAATTCATCTAAAATTTGGATTTTCGCCATAACCCGTTGAAAACCTGTCGGGGGTTTCGAACAATCCTTTTTCTGAAGGAATTACTAGTATTAGAGGATTGGGAAGCTGCATCCTTGTTTACTCAGCAGTGCTCCCGGGAGCACGTCTCGGGTTCTGGATGACTTCTTCTTTCCTGCCAGGCTTGATCCGTGGAGCGTCTTTCTCGACCAATGAACATTGTAAACGGTGGAGAATGACTTGTTTTACAACTTTAGTTTATGGAGGGACGGAAAGGATAGCTATAGTTGTGTGCATAAGAGTTCGCGCAATGGGCATGGCTCCTGCGGGTCTCTTCCTGTTTTCGCGTTTTTTCCAACCGTCCTACCGCAAGAACGCGCGAGAATATGAAATCGTTCTTGCTATAAAAAATATTCGGATCGTCGTTTTTCGCAATTAAAACCATGCAGATTGGAAAATTTGACGATCATTTTAAGGCCAGGTGACCGAATGCCAAATTTTGACTGGTCAAGGGTTAATAGTCGGAGACTTTTGGTTAACAGACAATATCGCGAGCATTTTTCGCTGGATTTTCACCAAAATTTGCAAAAAGCATTCAGATTAGTTAGTCGTCATACTGAGATGCTTATGGCATCATTTCTCTTAAAATGAAATTTCTAAGGAGTTTTTTTTGAAGTGTCCACACTTGGCTGAATAACCCTCTGTACTCATATATCGTTTATGTATTAGAATTTACGCAATACTTCATGGCTTGCGCAATGTTGTTTTGTACGGAAGTTTTGCGAATGACCACCATACAACCAGAGAACACTCAAAGCAGTATCTTTTTATTTCCACAGCTTCTTTTGCGAAAGCTAAGCTTTTAAATTATCAGATGGCGCTGGCTAAGCGCGCATCTTCCATCGACGGAGGAACAAAACGAACCCGGATGTAGGCTTTAATGCCGAAATCTGAACACACACCGCGCTTTGCGCGCAAGCCAAAAACCAACTGGCCTCTGTAGGCAGCGCAGCTGCCTTACAGAGCCATCAAAACGCATGAAAATGCCCAGACAGGAAAAAACCCAAAACCAACCAATGACAGAAGGGCTGAATCATAAGCCCGCCCTGACATCCCTGTACGGTCTAACACTGAGCTCCTGCGAAGTGCAGGTAAATGGCGTGATGCGCCGTAAAAGAACAGTGGATACAGTGACCGGTACGGTCCCTGTACTATGTCTAATAGACTGTACTACCGGGTGGCTCGGTTCCAGTTCGGTCGGCTCACGTGGTCCGGTATGGGATCTGGTTCAGTCAGGTTTGGTCCGGCTCGGTCCAGGTTTGGTCGGCTCGGATCAGGTTCGGTTTAGGAGTGGTTCTCGGTCGGTTTGGCTCGGGTTCGGTCGGTCTGGTTCGGCTTCACGCGGTCCAGTGCCTAGGTCAACGCACTGTCGCGACAGAATCCAGGGTCGGATGCGGAAATCGGTAGATTCCGCATTTTATCCGTCTGGAGAAAGGTCACCGTCTGGGGAAAATCGCGCAGGGGTTTGGGGCACAGGTACGGCCATGACCCTGCAAACACAATATTACGCTGCTCCGGTGGGGCAATTCCGGTGCTCCGCCGTGAGAAAGGTCGCTGTCCCAGGTAAGGCGGGCAGGGTTTTGGTGGGGTGAATTTCTCGGCGTGGTGATGGTGGTCGATCCGGCCGTGGGGATCGGGGTTGGCATGGCTGTTGGTGGTGGTGAAGGTCCGCGGGTTTCCCGCTGGTCCGGGTTGCGTCCACCGTCGGCATCCGTCATCGGTACGGTGTGGCTGTGGGTTTGTCCGTCCATCGCTGCACTTCTGGCTTGGCGACATCTCCATCCCCTTCTGGGAGAGGCAGTTTCCTCCGCGTTCTGCGGGAGTGACGGCACAGCTCCGGCGACTGACGGGAAATCCGGAGGAGCGGGTGAGCTCCGTACCCGGGGGTGGCACAGGACGCGATCTGGTCCACAGTCAGAGGTGATCCGTGAGCGGGACAAGCCCGCTGTGGAGCCCACGATCGTCACCGTGAGCTGCTACCATATCAGATGGCGCTGGCTAAGCGCGCATCTTCCATCGACGGAGGAACAAAACGAACCCGGATGTAGGCTTTAATGCCGAAATCTGAACACACACCGCGCTTTGCGCGCAAGCCAAAAACCAACTGGCCTCTGTAGGCAGCGCAGCTGCCTTACAGAGCCATCAAAACGCATGAAAATGCCCAGACAGGAAAAAACCCAAAACCAACCAATGACAGAAGGGCTGAATCATAAGCCCGCTCTGACAAAATTAAAAGCGATGTATTCAGTTTGTAATACGTAAATCGACCTTAGTTATGTATCAAAAATTAGCAATACAAAGAACCGAAAATATCGAGCGTTAAATTAGTGTCCAAACATTTCCTCTCGCAGTGCACATTCTTCTTTATTCGAACGCCATTCTTTAGCTGAACACGGAGAAGGGATAAGGATGGCATCGCGCTTCGTTTTCTGTTTCGTTGGATGGATTTCCGGTGCTAAATAAGGTTGTTTGCGCATATTAAAAATTCACAATTTTGTTTGTAGGAGCGCTACCAGAAACATATATCAATAAGACGCTGTCAATTGCAAATAAATGCGGTACGCAGAATTTATGTACAGGAAGGTGTTCGCAAAGCAGTGAAATAGAAAAAAAACACATCTAAGTCTAGGTTTTTGAGATTGTTCTTTCTACTGATGACCTTAGTGACAGCACTTCAGAAAAATAATTTTGCGCGATAAAAGAAAAGACTTTTCTTTTCTTTCTCCTCATAGCCAATGGCACTATCGGTAATAGATGTTCCGGTTACTTTTCTGTGCGTTGCAGTTTCACTTACCAGATTTGGAGAGATTCGTGTTGCGGTCGTTTTCCGGTACGCCCTCATCAGTTTCGGTTGCTAAATAACAGTTTTTGCATATATTAGGCGGAAAATTGTACTCGCATGATAGTTATGGTTGCACAAAGTTAAATACAGAACAAAAGCTTCATTTACTTGAAGTTTGACAGTGTATGAAAAAAACACGGTTAACTAGTAAAACAATTACCAGGTATACTAAAATAGGGTTTTGTGCAGGCTGTTTAGAAAAGCGTATCAGGCTTGATAAATGAAGGCGTACACCTATCTTTACATGTTTAATTTCTAAGACTGCATTGCTCAGTTGCTCATTATTTTATAGTTGACAACAGCGTTTTCAAAGACAGAACCGTAACGTTTCGGTAGAGTTTTAAAAGTTGTCCGGACACTTACCGGGCTCAGAGATTTCCTGGGTTTTGTGGCTTTTTTCCGCTAATGTTAATGGTGATTCGTCCTTGACCGGCATGGCTTCCTAAAATAAAGCCGAAAGGCAAATTAAAAAAACTTTCCAAAAACTAATTTAATTTGTAAAGTCAGTTCACCTCGCAGCTATCATGTAACTGCAAGCAGACAACGTACTGCGTGCACTTACCACAAAAGCCAGAATGGCACCGAAGAGAACTAAGGTCACGAAAACGTTCATGATGCCGGAAGCGAATCAATAAAAGTGTTAAGCAACAGAAATCGTTGACTATCGTTGAGTGGATTGTTTCGAACATACAGTTCTGTCGCCGCTAACACGATCTTTTATAGGAATCGCTACACGGCTGAGCTCCTTCTTTCTCTTGTACAAGAGCTCTTCAAACCCGTGGCGGTTATTATGCTTACTGCTGCTGCTTAAAGAGAAACGGCTTAACAGTTCCGAAGAAATGAAGTCCTTTCCGCTAAATATTGGAGAAAAACTCTAGTGTTTCCGGAACTACAGGCCGACACTTTGCGTAACTACTTGAAAACTGCGACGACATCTAACGGGAATTCCAGCGCCCGATGCGAGCATGGACATTACAAAAATATTTATATTTTTCGGCTAACTTAGCCACAGCAAATGATGCAACATCCTTTTTAAATTAAAATGCTAAATCGTCGAATCCGTAGCAAGTAGTTGTAGCTTTAGCCTTTAGGCGCATCGATAATGTCACAAGAAGAAAGAAAAAGCTTTTATGTTGATTCATTGTACTGGTTACACATGTATTTGTTGTCTACAATACTCGTTCACTGATTGTTATAATCATTCTCATCCTATGTTTGGCGGGGAGGCTATCAGCAACAGATATGACCTATACTGCACAATAAAATTAATGCCGCAACGATTTTGAAGCCTTACTGGGTGGCCGAACAAAATATCGGTCTTCTCTTTTGGCTTGTTTCTTGCGAACCACTTAACGCAATGTTTACTGTTTAGCCTCGTTAAGGGATAGACAATTAAATGAGCTACCAAAATCAACAAAATTTGGTTGAAAGAGTTAAACGAGCTCGTTTGCAATGGTGCAGATTATAATGGCGTGAAAGGTTTTCGTGTTCCAGCTCGCAGAACGTCGAATCTAGTGGAATCGCTTCTTTCCGTTACGCACTATCTGAATATTTGCAGGAGTTTTATCTAGAGCGAAACATACAATTTCAGTGGAATAAAAGTTGTGGACATACTGCATGCGCTGGATGAGTTATGTAGGCAGTGCACTTTGTGACTTTCCCAAAAAAATGACGGTTTTCTATTTAACTTACTATAACAGATACAATGGAAACGATAGTTTGCCATTAAGCTAGCTGAACCTTAGGGAAAGTGGTTAGCACAGCGTTCTAATTAATTTCATACAATTTTAAGAGTTTCTGTGTTCACTATGTTATTTTGAATGATTGCAATGGTTATAATAGTCTTCCGTCAGGGCAGCCTTATTGATGCGAGAATCCTCTGTTACTGTATTAACTGTATTAACTTATGTTACTGTATTAACGTTACTGTATTAACTTGATATACAGATAGGCCTCGGTGCAGGCTTGCTGAAATTACTTGAATAAATAAATGTTTGTTCGCGCAAAGGCTTTGCGCGGTTTGCGCCACTGACGGATTTCCTAAGTAGATTGTATGCATGCAAAACTTGCGAGCAGCTGAAAATAAACTCGAGTGGATTCTTTACCAGAAAATTATGCATATTTTACTGTGAATTACACTCCAGACGGTGCCAGCAATACGCAGCGTTAAGACTCGGTAAAACCGATATCTCCAGGGTTCAGCTACCGAGCTGCCCGCTTCTGCGAAGATTAGCGATCAAGCGTTTTTGAAGTAAACTTCGTCTAAAACTGCCATGCCTAATCAACAAAATCACGAAATCTTCTCAGTAATTTGCTGTATAAGGGGATTCGCCGGAACATATTTTGAGTGTTTTGAGAAAGATTTTTAGCATATCTGCAAAACACTGGCGCCTAAAAACTATATAAGGTTCGACGCTTTTCTTCCATAACAGTAACAAAACATTCAGTTCAGTCTCAGCATCTATACCAATTCTCTCTCTGTTTTGTCATTCTTCTAACCTACCTTGTCTTTAAAATGGCCGCTCGCTACCTTTTTGGTGTTGTTGTCTTCGTAGGTTTGTGCGCTGTTGCTCTGGGTTTCCAGGGCAAAGCGACCCTTACACTCCGGGAGCTACTACGGCCTGCGGAAAGGTCAACAGTGCGGACGAAATGGTGATGGCCATCAGCTGGATGCAATACGGCGATTACCGCAATTCCAACAAGTCACCCTCATGCGGCAAGTGCGCCCTCGTCAAAGCTGTGGACAAATCTGGTCAAAGCAATGGTGAGCAGGTCAAGGTCAAAGTGGTCGACCGTTGCGAGCGATGTATCAGTGGCGCCGTCCTGTTGTCTTCGGCCGTCTTTGAGAAGCTGGCTTCCGAGGAACAAAGCCAGGTCATCTGGAACTACGTCGAATGCTAAATTAGCTATAAAATGTCCCCTGTCTTCCTGCTTTCTGCAAATTTCTGTCGTGTTGTATGACGTCTAATGCTATTTTGATCCCTTCTCCGCTACTTTGCTTGCTTTAACTTTTCCTAAGGCTTTTATTAGTTCGTTATACAACTGTTTAGACGTGGTGCGTCTGATCGATGAATAAAAATCTAAATCTTTTCTTTGAGGCTAATCATTATAGCTGGAAAGAGTGAAAGAGGCTTTCGAGCAGCCCAAGTCGGCATCGTAGTATTCTCTCTTTATGATTTTGTCTCAACAGGCGACCGCGGTGTTCAAACCAGTACATTGTATGATGTGCTCATATTGTATTTTACAAAATGTGCAGGGTACAAGTCAATAAAACAGTCAACAGAAAGCGCCAGTTTAATTCTTTTCAGCTCCCTCTGTTATTAGAAAACTAATGCCGCGGTCCCCGACTGTACCTCCAAGGACAACTGGCCGCAGAAATTCGTGCGAGCGGATGTCTCCAATATGGTTGTGCCGCCGGCTTTTGTTTCCTTGATAGTGGCAGTAGCCGAAGGTCCTCAGAGCCCGTTTTTTCGATGGTTATCGGTGGGAAAATGCATCGGTTGTTTAAGTACGAGTACAATGTAGACTGCGATTCTTCCACCTGGGGAATTTTTATTTCACAAATCGTGGTAACATCACAGATCATAAACAGTCAATCAAAGTAACAAAATTTCATTTAATGCTGCCGTTCCATCCATTGTTCCGAGCACGGAAGCGGCGTTCCCCGCTGAATTTCCACTGACAGTCGTTGACGAAAAAACTCATGAGAGCGAGGCTCCCCAGTATGCTGCTGGAGACGCTTGCCAATTTCTTTCACTAAACGGGCAGCTGAATTTCCCCATGGCCCGAGTGTTTCGAAAGCAAGTGGTGCGAAAATGTATTCCGCCTAGGCCTAGGTCGCGACCGATCCAGCCGTGGTCGGTGTGGACTTTATATGTGAAGTCGCAACGATATCGACTTACAGTAAGTCCCGTGCTAAGCATATTTCTCATTACTACTGGTTGTTGTACGCACAAATGCGCATAACGTACAAATGTACGCCCAACTTTTTAAATGTGTACAAATTTATATTGCATAATCACATTGGTATTATGAAACTTTTGGTTAGAAAACTGGACAATAATTATAAATATATCAGCGCAGACAGTCGGTGTGCACGATAAATTGTAGGGCACAAATGACCTTAATTCTTTAATTTTGTTAACATCGTTTGAAGCTAGTATACGAGTCTATGGAAACATCTGTTCGAAATATTATTTGGACATCGTAGATTTTCTGAGCTGGTTTTATTGGTCGCCGTCCAGGATGTCATACGCAATTAGGAAGTGTACTGCCATTAAAAATTTACGAGTAGTTATGCTTTTTTCTCGCATGAAAATACCCGGTTCATATTAATCAAACTTGTACGAAAATGGCATCTGTACGAAAATGTAAACACTGAGATAAAATTTCCTGTCGTTTCGCCGGTATTCAAAATATTTCGCTGAAATACTTCTTTTCCTGGACAACAGTGATTGTTTTTCCATAGCAGAGTTTTAATAAACATGCATTATGCGCAAAAAGCCAGGCAGAAGAACGCGCAGACCTCTGCAGATGAGCGTGCATTTGGAATATTTTTTCAGTTGTGCATTTTGATTTGCCGGAGATAAGCCATTTATTACTATTAGTCTATCAGTATGGAAAAGCTATGAAAAAATTAAACAGATATTTTAAAGTAATAACTATTTCCATTTTTTCTTGTCACAGATGATTTCGTTGCTCCGCTGATGCCGTTCATGATCCAAATACATAAAATTTAAGACTGAACAAAGCTCACCGTCAGTGTTTCGGCTTATGGTCTCTATTTTCGGAGTACATATGTACAGCGCTTCCACTTGCGCACTATCTTTCTTCACAATTAAAAACCGCTGTTGCTAATGAGATAAGACTGCGTAGAGCAGTAAGGTTGCTGCTTATTTCCTTGTTTTTTTTGGCTCCACGATTCAGCTTTTAGTTTTATTATTTATATACCGCTGCATATTATTTGGCTGTCTTTTTCGATATTTTATTATAACATGTTCTGTTAACCGTAGCTACTGATTACTGCGCTGCTGTGCTACAGCTGACAGTGGGCATTGAATTAATACTACATACACAGTAATTGCTAGCCTGCTATTTGTTGCAGTTTGTCTGGTTTATTACTTAATAGCTCTTTAGAATTGTAATTATTTTAATTGAAAGTGTATACAAGAGTGAGCCTTATCTGAGCATCTGCCAAGTTTTTTTCAACCTTTATGATAATAATTATTACAATCCGATGCTCATGTATGTACAGATAGAGTAAAGCTACTATGATTCTCTGCGGTTATGTAAAGCTCCTCATTTATTGACGGCGAACATCAGTACAGAATGCTCCGAAATGCGACTATTTAAATGCGGTGAGTGAACTTTTTCCGGTGAGTGCGGCCGGAACTTTTTGGGGACTGGAACTTTAACCACAAGCGCGTCGCAGTTTGGAATTCATGTTGCACGAGGGGCTATCAAACAATGCCTGCAACAATATAATTGCAGATAAATAATAAAATTAGCCTGATTGTCTATTATAAGATCATGATCCACAGAATTATGAAATTTAATATTTCTATTATACATAGCTTTTACTTATATATATTTTAAGGAGTTTATTAGAATCCTTTACAGAATCGACACGTACTGGCAGGATACTTTCTTTTTATTTGTTTCATTTAACAAGAAAACGAAGAAAACGATGGATTATATTTGCCGAATACAGTAACAAACAAAGGAGAAGTGATATTAATATTTCCATCCACTCGTTGATTTTGTAGTTACTTACGCAACACCGAAAATTACATAAAGTTTTGTAATTTACTTACATTTCGCCGGTATCTTCCTGTTTGTTTGTTGACCGAGATGGGAACATCAACTATGATGCTCGTCCTCGGGGTCTCCATTGGTGTTTCGGGATCTTCGGTGGTTACCCCGTATGTTGTTTCCGTTTGCGGTGCTGAAATAACGTTTGTTGCATAAATAAACCGACCAGTTATAGCACGCATAAAAACAGTTAACGTCAAAATTACATAAAAAAGAAACTACGGGAAATTTTTCAAACGATGATAAAATTGAAACTTGTAAGAAAAGTGCAGGATGTGTAGGCTGTTAGTTGACCGGGCCACGCAAAAATTAGAAAATAAAGACTACAGTTTTCATACTTTTACATTTTGTTCGCTCGCTACACTGTTTATATCGAGGGCTTCATGTATGAAAATTACTTTGGAAAATCTTGCGTACTGTGTATTAACACTTACTAACATCCGCTGACGTTGCTCGCGGCACGGCGTCCTGCAAAACATGGCGGTAAATTTCATATCGATTTCCGAAGTAAATTCATTTCAATTTAAAGATCAACAACTGCATGGAGCTGGTGTAATGCACTTACCGAAAAAGCCAGAATGGCAGCCGCAAGCAGCAAGGGCAGGAAAACGTTCATACTGCCGAATAGGAGACAGGAATTACGTGCCAATCAACAGAAATTAATTATTAGTAAAATAACATTGGAATTATACAGATAGCTGAATCGGAGCTACCACGAGCTTTTATAGGAATTCCCGCTGGGCTGAGATGCATTTCTACTGCAGAAGAGCTGTGGCGGTTATTGTGCTTACTGTGCGAAATGTTCTTAGAATGCGATTAAGCGATTTTGAAGAAATCACAGTTTTTCCGTCGAATATTTGAAGGAATGATAAGTGATTCCCCGCAGCCGACGGGCCCGCTCCAGCACCCGGCGTATTCACTTGAAAACTGCGTCGCCAGCTAACAGAAACTGAACGCAGACGTGTGTACAGTAAACTCTGTAAGATTGAACAACTGCGAAAATTGAACAACTGCGAATATTGAACGCCCGTGTAGGAACCGGCGCGTCTCGAATACTGCAAAAGCTACTGCGAATATTGAACAGTTGGTTACATTGAACACTTTTGAAGGAACCGGAGGTGTTCAGATTACACAGGTTTTACTGCACTAGCACTCGTACGTTTGTAGCCGACAAAGCTGTCTGCCTGCATTAGCACCGTGCTAAAAACCACCCGGTTGAGAAAACACACTCCATTACATCATATGGGGAGAATTCCGGATTAGGGATTCTGTAGTAAGGAGAAAGGCAAAAACTTGGGCTAACAAAATTTACGACGGCGATTCTCCCGCCTCCACTAGGTCGGTAACAACTGTCCATCTTGTTTGTTGTTCTACCGTATAATTCACAAAAAGTCAAAAACTGACCATGGTGAGTAAAACGAATTTATCGTTTAACATTTATTTGTTGCTGCTGCGTTATGACAATGCCACTCTCATGAACAAGAATGGAGAAGAAATATTATCGATTTAAATCTTACTTTGTACTTATGGTTAGTATTCATTCTGCTATGTTTTGGCCTCTAAATTCTTATAAACATTGTTTGTCTGCAGAATTACAACATTATCTGTACAACTAATGTAAATTACATGTATATATGCGTGGCAAATCTTTGCGTTTTGTCAGATACTAGAACTGGACGGTGTTTGAAGTTTATCGGCGTTGGTAATAAGTTTCAAAAATTAGATGTTTGGGCATACAGATTAA